AGCTTCCTAGGGCTGTGGTAACAAATTACCACAAATTGAGACTTAAAATAACAGCTTATTCTCTCCCAAATTCAGGAGGCCAGAGGTCTGAAATCAAGGTGTCGCAGAGTCAGTTCCTGGCGGATGCTCTGAGGGAGAGTCTGTTCCGTGCCTCCCTCCTAGCTCCTGGCGATTGCCAGCAATCCTTGATATTCTTTGGATTGTAGCTGTGTCACTTCAATCTCTGCCTCCATCATCACCTGACCTTCTTCCCTGTATATGTGCTCTGTGTCTCTATATTCAAATTTCCCTCTTGTTTTCCTATGAAGACACCAATTATTGAATCCAGGACCCACCTTAAACCAGTATGACCTCATCTTAACTCGATGATATCTGTGAAGACCCTGTTTCCAAAGAAGGTCTCTTTCAAAGGAACTGGAGTTTGGACTTGCACATATCTTTTAGAGGGACACAACTCGGCCCACTATGTAGTCCAATAGAAAAAATAAAAATAAGGGGAAATTGGGCAAAACGAATGAAGAAAAAACAAAAATTTCTAATAAATAAAAAGATGCTTAAAAGCAAAATGAGATTCCATTCCACTAGATTAATAAATATTAAGAAGTGTGACAATGTAAGGATACACTTACATTAGCAAGGATACAAACCAAAGGAAACTCTCACACACTTCTTAGATAATCTTAGTATAATCATTTTGGAAAATAATTTGGCTTATCTCAAAATTCTACTCCTAAATTGATACCTTCTCAGAAATTCTGGCACATGTATACCAGAATATATTTAAAAGCCTATTCATGGGTGTGCATTTTTCATTACAGGAAAAAAAAAAAAAAAAAACTAGAAAGAAACCATAGTCCATCGACAAAGAATAAAAAATAGATTGTGGTATACTCACACTTTGAAATGTTATTAGCAGTAAAAGAAATAGATGAACTACAGCTGCCAGCAACAAATAGGTATATCTCACGAACCTAATGTTGAATGAAAGCATGAGTCATAAACATGAAGTATGTTGATGACATATAGTCATCATATGTGTGACACATAATATGACACCATTTATGTAAATTTTAAGAACAGAACTCACCAATATATTGTTTAAGGAAACACATATATGTGAATTTTTAAAATGATTTTTAAGAAAGCAAAGGAATCAAACCCAAATCAGAAGCATGGGTACTAGGGTCACTGCACTGCACAACTGCGTCAATGCCATTTCTGTTGCAGTTGATGTGAGTGATGCTTCAGATGAGTGAGCAGTGAGTTCCCAGAGTTATGCACATCCATACATGGTGGTACTGGTGTTGACCTTCAGGGGGAAGGGCAAATAAGTAGAAAAAACAGCTACATAGAAAAGTGAGCAAAGGATAAGAACTGGTAAATTAAAGAAGAAAAAATCTGAATATAAAAAGATTTCCATTCTCACTACCAATTAGGGAAAGTTTACAAATTAAGAACAAGGTACTATTTTCTATCCATGAGATTGGCAATATTTAAAAATCCGATAACATGAACTATTAAGAAGAATGGGAAAAAATATGACTGTCATGAGCTTTGTGCAACTGTAAATTAGTATAATTAGGCCATTTTTAGAAAAATTGAAGAAAAACATACTTGTGAAACTGAGGGTCCTTATGACTTTAATTAAATTTAGTTTTAAATCTTAGCTCTAGAAATCATCTTTCTCTCTTTCTCTCTCCTCTCCCTGCCCCCGCCCCTTTGATCCACAGAAACCTAGCCTTTCTCCCAGATAATCAGCTGACTGTAGCCTGGACCTGATTAATGGTCACGTGGGACCTCTGGCCAGCTAAAGATAACACCTTTACCTAAGTTATGTGTCAGCCCCTGAGCCCTAAAGTGGAAAAGACCCCTGGCTACTTTCTCATGAGATTGGACACAGGGACCAAGGAAAAGACCTCAGAATTGTCCTCAAGACTTGAAGAAATTATTTATTACCCTTACCTTGCCTCCAATCAATCAGCTCCCAGCATTACCACGAACCCCTAACCCAATAATCTGTATAACCTATACACCATCGGGGGGGTGGGGGGGGAGGAGGTTTAAAGAGCACAAGCTCTTTGTCTCCGAATTAGCCAATTTGACATTAAACTATTTTTTTTCTTTCTCTTTCTATACTGCAAACTCCTGCTCGTGCATTTCTTTGGGCCTGTGTGCGCAAGCAGGTGAACTCAAGAAATAACAGTGGAGTTTCAGTCACACTTGCTCTAGGACTCAGAGATTCCTATGCTAAGCAAATGCACTAGAGAAACTTTCACACAGTGATACCCCCAGAAGTGCCCATTGCTGCGATGTTTGAAAGAACATAGTTGTTCTTAGGAAGGAAACTGAAAACAAACTAAACATAATTTATATATGAATTGCATAAAAGAGCCAAAATGTATGTATAAACATGAAATGAATCCCCAAAATAGAGTGAAAAAAGTATTACTACATTATTTCTATTAAATTTTTTAAATTAATAAATATCTCATATACATCTTAGATATATCTAAGATAACTAGAACTTGTTGCATGTTTGTTTTGCTTGTGTGCTGGCAAGAATAATATGAAAGAGTGAGAAAAATTCAGGAAACAGGAAAATCTAAAGAGTAAGCTCCTTGAGGTGAGAGGGGATGGGGTGCAGAGTGGAGGAATAGGGCTTTGTAATGGATGGCTTTAAAAAAAAAATCTTTGTTGATTAGCTAAACTTGAGATTTGGGATAAGTAAGATGAGGCAATAGAAGGGAACTCTCTTCTCCAGGTAGTTTCTCCACTTAAACAAACAAACGAGCAAACAGATAAGTAGTAAATAAATTGTAAAAATATATATAAGAAAATAAAATCCAACCAGTAACAAGGTTCAGAGTATTGAAAGTGAGGCTGCTCCTCCTACATTAAAATCAAACTCATCTACAGGCCCCAAACAAAAGTGCTGCCTGATTTACTCATCTCTTTATGTACGATCAAGTATTTGAGCTAAATTAAAAGCTGAAGCCCAAATTTGTATGCTCAGCTCCAAACTCAGTTCCATGTTCTGTGGTCCAAAACGGTACAGCCCTGTTGACTGAAATGGAAACTTAGTCCACTAGGTGGTCTAAACATGTGAAAACTATAATCCCCATAATACACTATAGCAGGCGCTCTGTCTAAGGAGGAAAAGGAATGGGTGGTTTCTGTGAAAAAAATCAAACATCATAAGTACATGTATACTGAGGAATAGATTGAAGAAATAAAGTGGAGTCACTATATCCAAGCTGCTAAATTACTAAAATCTAGTAGGTTGAAGTATGAGGAAATGATTCTATTCTTGTTTTAACTAACCTGGAAACTTAAACTTTTGAACTTTCCAGTCCTGAGTCAATGCCTGGATATACATCAAACTTCCAGATAACCCTCTGATTACCCTCTGAAGGACTAAGGAAAGAATGTTCATGTATCTAGACACCTGACATCCATTATCCAAACCACCTGATATTAATAACCACCAGACCACTGATCATCTAGAGCAGCAGTCCCCAACCCTGGGCCACAGACCAGTATCCCTAGCCAGCTAGAAATCTGGCTGCACAGCAGGAGGTGAGCAGCAGAGGAGGAAGTAAAGCTTAGTCTGTATTTGCAGTCACTTCCCAGCACTAGCATCACCACCTCAGCTCCACCTCAGATCATCAGGCATTAGATTCTCATAGGAGCACCAGTCCCTGGTGCCAAAAAGGTTGGGAACCACTGATCTAGAAGATTACCATCACAGACCAATCTAGCAGCTAAGAATGCAGAACTGATTCTTTTCAAGAATGTACTTTCTACTATAAGAACTCTCTACTTTTCTTTCTTCTTCAGAACACTCTGGGTATGGCCTAGCTGTATTTCCAGTTTGCAAATCCTAAGACCTTTGAATAAATTTTTATCATTTATTTTCAGGCAAAAGCTTCTGATTCACTTATTCCCATTGACAATACACACACACACACACACACACACACACACACACAGAACTTGTTAATCTCACAGCAGTCTTTTATACTAATTATCATTCTTAAGTTAAAAATTAACTTAAGGGCCAGCGACTAAGTTGATTCTATATGATCCAATATCACTGTATTCTTTTATCTCCTTCCATAATCATATGACAATTTCATCATTTTATAATAATACCGATTAACCGGTTAATGAAAGATTTCACAAGATAGCTGTAAACTTTTGCAAATGATTTAAACTAGTAAACGCAACTGTGTATCGCCTATATAGAATGACAACAGTATAAACTGAATTAATATAAAATTTGAAATTGTATTACTTCAGCACTTGAAAATATTTGTAATTGCTTTTTCTTATTGCACAAATGCAGTGAAGTAGCCATTCTATGAGGCAATGAGGAAGCAGTAAAATCAAAGTGTGTAGGACAGGACAGGAAAGGGAGGATGTTCTGAAAACAAGGGGGAAAATGACTGTTTCTAATTGAACAGAAGATGTATCCCCAGGAACATGTATCACCAAACATGAAACTTCGTGAAATAGGTTCTCCCTTGGAAGTTTTTCAATTTCCGGTTCATCTTTTTACATTTTTGTTTTATGCCATCTAATCACTACTGCCTGACCAGTATGCTAGACAATTATAACTGAGTTGCTATTTTTATCACTTTATTCTTGAAAAGATGTTCTGAAATTTCCCTTCTACTGTCATTAAATTCCAGCACGTGTGTACATTTTTCTAGAAACAACGTCTGTAACTCTCAAAGATGTTCAAAAGGGTTGGTGGCCCCAAAGAATCCAAGACCCACTGCAGTAACATGAACTCTCTTCAGCCACGTGGAACCAGGCTGCGTTGTCTTCCGCTCAGAGGCTGAGGTGTCCCATGCCCAGCCCTCCCCGCACAGTCCTCCGAGGCTCGGCTTCCAGCAGGGGTCGCTGCGTCGCTGCCGCCACGCGCGTGCGCCCGGCCCGGCCCTCTCTCGCCGCGCCGGCGCCGACGGAAAAGGCGGGACATGAGTAGGGCGGGGCCTGGAGGCCGGAGGTCAGCGCGGCTGCTGGGAGGGAGGGGGGAGGAGCGGCACTGACGTACAGGTAACTGTGCCCCTACCGGGCGTGCCGCGCCCCGGACTCGTGCCCCCTCTCTATTGCTTCACCGCGCGCACTTAAGCGATAGGGGTGTGGCAAGCGCCTCTGCCCCTCCTGAGCCTTTGCCAGGCCTCCGCGTGAGTTCTTCGCGCCCTGCCCGGGCAAGGCCAGTCTCCGGACGTCTCCAGTACCCGGGGACTGTCGGGGCCTGGAGAACGTGGCCGGCTGAGGCTGTCCGCCCCTGAGCCCGGCACCTGGGAGCTCGAGGACGCAGGTGTCCAGTTTCCCTTGACCTTGAGGACCGGGAAGGTGCGCACCCCGCAGGGGTGGGGAGGGAGCGAGGGGAACCCGACCCCGTCTCAGCACTCACTCCGCCCCTGAGGTCACCAGGAGAAGGGAGGATTTTTATAGTTGCAGTAGACCTGCAGTTGCTTAGATCAGATTCTCCTTATGGAGCAGTGAACAGGCTCAGGAACGTGGACTGATTTCCGCAGGTCACGGACAGCGTTGCCTTACAGCCTTCGGTTAGTTCACAGATTTTATATCTCTTCTGAAGATCTTACCCGAAACCGCCGTCAGGCTTCCTGCAGCAGTCATCCTACCGCTCACGTCCACATTGTCGCCAAGGAACTTCTAAAATGCACACCTAGAGGGTCGCTTTCCTACTTGAGATCTTTCTGTGACTCCCATGCCCTCTGGGTGAAGTCCAAACTTTAATATGCAAGGCCCTTGGAAATCAAGCTTCTTGCTCATCAGTCCAACCCTGTCTTTGTTTTTTCTGGGTCATTCTAATGCTCCAGTTCTGATCTTTAATTCTATGGTAATTAAGCACTTACCGTGTGCTGGGCACTATTCTGGGCACTTGGATTCAGCAGAGGAAAAAAATACAGGTGAAGGTCCCTACCCTAGCGGAGTTTATGTTCTAGTAGGGAAGACAGACCAAAAAAAAAAGAACCCATTAGTAAATTATATGATAGCAAATAATAAATGCTGTATAGGTCAGCGGTCCCCAGCCTTTGGCGCCAGGGACCGCTGCCCCTATGAGAAGCTAATGCCTGATAATTTACGATGGAGCTAAGGCAGCGATGCTGGTGATGCTAGCTCTGGGTACCGGCTGCAAATACAGTTGAAGCTTTCCTCACTCACCTGTCCGCTGCTCACCTCCTGCTGTGTGGCCCAGGTTCCTATCCTAACTGGCCACGGACCAGTCCCTGCCCTCAGCCCAGGAGTTGGGGACCCCTGCTGTAGGGGAAGAAAGTAAAGCAGAGTAAGGGGATATTGGGAGGACAAGATGCCTATTAAATAGAGTTGGAATGAGTAGATCTCTGAAGTGAAGATGAATTACCTGTGCAGATATTTGGGGTAAGAGCGTTCTAGGTGCAGCTGATACACAAGACTCTACCCAGAAATGTGCCTGCTGTGTATGAGGAAGGCCATCAAGGAAGGAGCTGAGTGAGCGCTCAGAGGGTTAGAGAGGCAGGAGATGAGGTCAGAGAGGAAGTAGAGGGGTCGGACCACAGAGAGCCTATAGGCCACGGTAGGGATTTCGCATTTCTCAGTGCTTTTGTAGGGTTTTGAGGAAAGGAGCAACATGGTATAAATTACTTTTTACAAGAATCACTCTGACCATTCTATGGAGAGCCCTCTAACAGAGCCTTCATAGTAACCCTGGTGGTAGACGATGGTGGCCTGAATCTAGTAACAGTGGAAGTGGTGGGATACTGGACATGCTTTGAAGATAAGCCAACATGATTTTCTGACATAATGCATATGGGTAATGAGGGAAAGGGCAGAGTCAAGAATGACTGGAAGCTTTTGTTCTCAACAACTAGAAGGGTAGAGTTACCATCAACTGAGGAGGAGAAGGCTGCAGATAAAACAGGTTTGGGACCGGGGATATACCAGAAGTTTGTTTTTGGACCAGTTTTTGAGGTTCCTGTTATGTACTCAAATGGAGATATCTAATAGGCAGTTGGATATTGCATCGGGTCCTCAAGGCCACTCTCAGGTTCATTGATTCACTAGGAAGACTCAACAGTACTCAGCTATGGGTTACGGCTATGATCTAATACAGCAAAAGGATACGAAGCACCATCAGCAGGGGAGTAGATGCATGGGACAAAGTCTGGAGGAAATCATGAGCAGTCTTCCAAACCAAGAGTCCTCTTCTGCCAGTGGAATTACACAGGACATGCTTAATTTCTCCAACAAATTGTGACGCATATGTGCAATGCCTATCAGGAAAGCTCATTAGAAACTCGGGGCCCAGGGTTTTTACTGGGATTTAGTCACATAGGCCTCCTCTACCGAATTTGTACCAAAATTCCATACTCTCAAAAGGAAAGCAGGTGTTCAGCATAAATGAAATTGTACAAACAGTTTAGGCACAGTGAGCCACTCTTATCAGTTTTAGGAATGGTGAGAACCATGAAATCCAAGTTTCCAGACACCAGCCAAGGGCCATCTTGCAAGTAGGCCTTTCTAAGAATAACAGTCTAGGGCCTGCTATATGAAGCCTTTTCTGCACAGATACATAAGTCTGAAATTTGGAAGAAAGGTCTGGAATGGAGATACAGATTAGGGAGTAGTTGGCATACAGATTGTATTTAAAGCCATAAAAATGTACATTGTTTTGATACGCTTTTGTCAAAACTGAAAGATTGAGCTGGATGAAACGAATGTAGAAGAGAAGAGGATCAGAGTCTGAGCTGGTGTCCTCTAACATTAAGATGTCAGGGAGAAGAGAAGGAAGCCGCAAAGGAGTCTTGAGAAGCAGCAGTGGATGCTATAGGTAAACCAAGAGTGAGGTGTTCTGGAAGCCAGGTGGAAAGAGGACAGTGATTAGCTGTTTCAAAAGCTGCTGAGAAGTCAAATAAGATGGAGACTAATGAGTGACCTTTTGGATTTAGAAACAGAGGCAGTGAGTGTATAGACAATTCTTAAGGAATTTTGTTGTAAAGAGGAGCAAGAAAGGTAGAGGCTGGGGTTAAGAGAAGGTTTTTTGGTTGGTTGGCTTTCGAATGAGAAGTAACAGCATGCTGATGGAAATGGTTCATTAGAAAGCAAAAAGTTAACTGTTGTAACTTGCTGTTACCCCAAAGCTCAGTTGCAGACCACCTTTGCCATCAGAACTCACCTCAAGCATCCCTGCTCTGGGCTCCAGGTTATGCAGGATCCAGCCTCCACTGGACCTCAACTTTCACTTACATTCTCTGACAGCCAGTTTACTTGCCCACATCCCACCTAAATGGCAATTCTTTGAGGACAAGGACTGTGTTTTATACCTAGACCTAGCTGGCCACTTGGGATATGCAGGCAAATGAGTGAAAGTGAAGGTGGATGTAGTAATAGGTAGGATGCTCATTCATTGAAAATGAATCTGCAAGTATTCACTGGTTTTTGTATGTGCTGAGCAGATTGGGGATGGGAGTAAGGATCAGGCAGAATTCCTGCCTTGTCACTAGCCATAGAGTTTGAAAGGTAAGAATAGTACAGAAGATACACAGCACTGGTACAACATGAGTTTGGAAAGGGGCATGGTGAATGTAGGCAAGGAAGGGTGGAGGAGCGTGGTGGCTCTTGTGTGGGCCTGGAAGAGGGGAGGCCATGCTCAAAGGACAGAAACTTTTTTTTTTCAGTAGTAGAATCTTTTTTTCAAATGAAATACAAGGAACCCCAGTATTCACCAACACTGCTACTCTGGTTGAAGAGGGGTTGGGGCCTGGTTAGCCCTCTCGTCTGGCACTCCCACTCCTCTGCCCAGTTTCAAAGCTCTGAGGCAGGACCTAGGTTCTCAGACCCCACCCCTGTGGCCCTCGCTGTCCACTGCTAACATCTACAAATGGTCATCTCCAGCAAAAATTAGTGTGTTTTCTCAATTTTATCTTCATAAGTTTTATCTAAACTTCCAGCATTTACTAATGTTTGCTTGCTGGAGAGTGAAGCAGATCAGAAAGAGAGGGAGTAGCTAATATATACAGAGGTAATGCTTGGCTTGACCTTTTGGTTATGTTTATTATAATTACATGTAAATGCAATTTTAAACAGTTATTTCGTGCTAGTAAATGTTTCCTAGTGTAGGTAAATATAACTATTTGTGATGTATGCAGAGAGTAGTGTCATATCCAGGCATTTCTCACAGGAGACAATAGGATGGTAAAAAGGCAGGACTTTGGGGTAGAGGGTGTTGGGATATGTGGGAGTCCAATCACTGACATTGAAACAGGACTTCTCTCCACCAGATATCTCTTAGGAGTTCTTCTAAATAGGAGTGACACTTCCTCCACTCCTCTACTCCTGAAACTCTCCACTCTGGTATTTCAATTGATGTGGCAGAAAGAGCAATAGACTTGGAGTCAGAAGAATGGTGGGCAGTTTAGCATGATGTTAAGGAGCCTTGACTTAGGAACCAGCGAGCCTAGGTTTCAATCCACTTAGTATCTATGTGACCCTGTAACTGAGATGGTCTTGTCAAAAGGAATAAATGAGTTAATATGTAGACCAGTGTCTACATACCAGACCCATAGTAATCAATGAGTGTTAAGAAGACTTGGCATTGGAATCCTGGCTGGATCACTTACTAGCCGTATGACTTAGCAACTTGTTAGAGTCTCATTTGTACTTATCTGTAAAAGGAGGGACCTGCACAGAGTTATCCTTTAGAGGCTGTCCTTATCATCTCTGCAGACACACACAGCTCCAGGAGTATTGTTAATTAGGGTGGAACATGCAGCCAGGTCCTGAGCTCCAAGGCATACATATGGTCTTTGGCATTATACCAGATAGCAAAAAATAATTCACTGAAGTCAGACCAGTGTTTTTAAACTTTTTTTATTGTGATCCACAGTAAATACATTTTACATGATGACCCGCTGTGTGTGTCTACATTCATATGTATGTATGTAATTGTAACAAAAGTTCCATGAAGCAGTATTTACTCTTACTACATGTGTTGTACTATAATATTTTTTATACTCTTCAGTTCTAGTTCTTAAAAAGTAAAAATTTTAATAATGGCTCATGACCCGTAGTTTGAAAAACACTGACCTAAAAATAGGTAAATCATCATTATTGCTGGTCTTGATCTTCTTCATTACATGAGCATCTTACATAAACTGTTCTGATCTAGGCCCAATAGCAGATGGTGATTTCAGCCATGGCTCTCTTGGCCCGTAACTCTGACGTTACCTGGATAAATTCTAGTGCATCTAGAACTTTGGCCTACCACAGAATTCTTGAAGCTGATGATAGAGAGCTGTGGCCACCTATGGTTAACTTTCTTGTGTGTTATGGGTAGGTGGGAAGGTATGAGAGGCTCTGCTTTTGAGTGAATTATTTTTCTTAAAATTTTACACTGAAGAATAGATGCCAAAAATGTTAACAGTGGTTATCAGAGTGGATTATGAGTGATTTAAATTTTCTTCATATTTTTAAAAATTTCCTACCATGAAAATATATTTATGTATAATCATTGAAATCTCCTTTCTCTTAAAAAATTATATTACTACTAAAAAAATCCTTGGTAAAATAAAAGATAAAAAGTACCTTTACTTGGCAAAATAAAAAGTAGTCCACCATTAGGTAACTTTAAAAAAAGTTTCTTTTGATTATAGTGATCCATGGGAACTACTGAAACTGTTTTCTCCTTTATCCCTGCTTATATAAAATTTAAAGTTCTTTCTATGAATGATGATGATTCTGTATTATATTAGACTATACAAATAATATTTCTCTTTAAGGTACTTGAAGTAGTTTCTATTCACCATTTTAGAGTACTCTATGGATTTCATAGCATTTAAAAATTATTTCAAATTACAGTTATGTTGAAAACAGTCCTTAAATTGAGCCTGCTTTATTTCTCATTTAAGACTCACAGTGGGGTCCTAAGAGCAATGAGATACAGAATTAAGCCTGTGTAGACTGCCTTATTCATGCCAACAAAAATATGGTCCAAAATGTTAACAAATACAACTTGGAAGTAGTTAGCTATGTGCTATCGAGAGGGCTTACAGGTATTTGCTGTTAGCTTTATGATGAATGGAAAATAAGTAGGAAAAATCATGCAAATAGTTATCAAATCAGCCTGAAAATATAGCCTTGGCACAAAGGAAAGCCTTTTCACATTACTAAATCATGGTCTTAAAATCAACTTGATGTACTTGGGAAGGTCTGCCATCATCATAAGATGGGTTCTGCTGCCTTTGAGGTAATGTAGGAATTCATTGCTCTTTGGCATGTCAGCACCTCAGTACAATTACCCAGTTTGTGGGTCTCCAGGCCCTTTCCTTTTCTGCTAGCTAGCCAGTACCTCTGTTAAACAGTGGGAAGAAGATGTAAAAGGGGGTAAAATGCATATCTGTCCAATTTGTTCATTTCTAGCTCTGATTTGCTGGGGTTGGAGGCTGAAATAAAGTTTAGAGATTGACTCTGGGTTTTGAGGTCTTCCTTCATTGGCAAAATCAATATTGTAGAGAGATAACATGTCAGTAAATAGTCTTTCTCTCCATGAGATTTTTTTTTTAAAAAAAACAAATCCTTGCAAAGTATTTTTAGTATATTTCAGTGGCAGTCAGTATCCAAGCTAATTTGGGGGTTAGAAAGAGGAGAACCAGTGTTTTCACACATATTAGTATCTAGTTCCACCCTTATGACCACCCTATGAGGTAAGCACGTTAATTACAGCCTGAAGTTCACTATGGTACAGTGCATGGCCCTTGGTACATGCAGAATGCAGACCAATATGGCCTTTTGTAGGGGAGCTTAAGTACAGTAGTAGGTATAAAGTATTCATGGTGTGTATGGTTTATGTTGTAAGAATGCCAGGACACTGCACTTGTGAAATAAAACAATTATTGTGTTTCAGGTTATATGCACCATGGCTATGACTAGTGTCAGATTGCTCTCCAGTGTTTTACGAAAGCCGGATACCTGGATTGGACTCTGGGGAGTGCTACGAGGGACACCTTCACGCAAACTCTGTGCTTCCTGGAATCGATACTTACATTTTTCTAGTACCAAGTTAAATGCATCAAATTATAAAACTCTATTCCATAACATTTTCTCACTGAGACTCCCAGGGCTTTTAATATCTCCAGAATATATTTTTCCCTTTTCTGTAAGACTCAAAAGTAATATTAGCTCTAAAAAATCCACTAAAAAGACTCCGCAGAAAGTCAAAGATGAAGAGGACTCTGATGAAGAGAGTGATCACAATGAGATGAGTGAGCAGGAAGAGGAGCTCGAGGATGACCCTAATGTAGTCAAAGACTATAAAGACCTGGAAAAAGTAGTGCAGTCTTTTCGGTATGATGTTATCCTGAAGACTGGCCTAGATGTTGGAAGAAAGTAAGTACAGTGTGCATTTTATTACAAAATCACATGTCTTCTTATTCATCATTTAATTTAGTATTGTCAGTCACTCGGCCCATATTATGGTGAAGAGTAACCATAATATCTATATCCATAGATATCCATAACCATAGATATGAAAGGGTCTTATACAAAACCTGTTTCAATTATTTCATTCTGTAGACAAGAAAACTGATTCCCAGAGAAGTCAAGTGACTGCCTGCATGCAGTCTGCACACAATGATTGCTAAAGGAATGAATGAACGATGAGGGTAACTAGTCTTATATAATTAGTCTAGCAGAGAGAGAATGAGAATATTAAAGAAATCTTGAACCTTATGGGCCATATTTTCTTGATTCTAAAACTCAAAAGTAAGACTGTAAGGTAAACTATTGATCTAATAATAGCTTTGAGGGAAAAAGGAATCACCATGTTAGATGTGTGTGGCAAACATAAAACACACCGGGTTTCACAAATGCCACAGTGTGAAAAGATACCTCTTAGAATCAATGGAAGCAATATAACAGGATGGCTGAGAATGTAGGCTCTGCAGCCACACTACTGGGGTTTCAGTCTTGGTTCTGTGTATGACCTTGGGCAAGTTACTTAAATTCTCTGGGCTTCAGTTTCCTTATCTGTTAAATGGGGATAATAGAACCTACTCTAGAAGGTAGTTGATAAGATTAAATGAGTATTTCTCCATGTATCTAAAGCATTTATAGCGGTGCCTAGCACATAGTAGGTACTCATCATATGTTATGATAAAAATACTATGCGTGTTCATATATGAGATATTAAGTGTAACTTTCAAGATTTCTTTAATATTCTCATTCTCTCTCTGCTAGACTAATTATCTGAAAGGGTCTTATACAAAACCTGTTTCAATTATTTCATTCTGTAGACAAGAAAACTGATTCCCAAAGAAGTCAAGTGACTGCCTGCATGCAGTCTGCACACAATTAGTGACCCTCATTGTTCATTCATTCCTTTAGCAATCATTGTGTGCATACTGCATGCAAGGTAAGAATTATGGTATGAATGATAAATTCAGAAAGATTTTCTTGTGTAACTTGTACTTTATGACCTAATTTAATGACATAGTTTAATTTTTTAATCTTTGAAGCTTAAAGACTCATAAAGGTGACTCTGAGCCCACAGGCACCCTGATTAGATTTGTTAAATGTCTTCTAAAATCTAGCAAACTCGTAAAGGGGCCCCTTCCTCTCCCATAGTAGTAGCTGCTGCTGCTGTTACTAAGCAGACCCCAGATGTCAGTCACCTGGAGTCAGAGCCTCAAGAGGAAAGGGCACTGATTTTTGTCCACATCTTCCCCTGGTCTAGTTGCCCCAGTGATTAAATTCAGAGAGATCAGCAGCCTCTGGATTGGAGTTTCTCCAACCTCGGTGCAGACTAGTAGAGGATTTCTTAATGGCCTAACCATATGTGTGGTGCCTGGCTTTTCTCTCAGAGCAGGTGTATGAGGGGAAAGGAGTGCCCACCCCCCAGTCTGTCGTGAATCACAGGAGCTACCACCTAGCAGACAGTTGCTGCACAAGGAGACAAGTGAAGGTCCCTGGGCCCTGTCCTGAATGGGCAGATGCACATCCTGAGCCTTCTGGAAAAGCCCTATCAGAGGACTGATTACCTGCCAGATAGTACCAGCAAATATTTGCAGCAGGTCAGCATCTATTCAGGTCTCCTTCTTTTAGATATATATGGAAGCAATTGACTATCACTTTCCTAGCACCCAGAATGGAGTTTTTATGTGGAGGTTGGTCACTGTCAGAGTAAGTTCTAATTGCAGATGTTTTTCTCACACTTGTATAATTGTTTTGAATATATTTCTTATTTTAAAGCACTTTGACTTTTTTTTCTTTAAAGCAAAGTGGAAGATGCGTTCTATAAAGGTGAACTCAGGCTGAATGGGGAAAAATTATGGAAGAAAAGCAGAACGGTGAGATATTAAGATATCCAGATATTTTCCCCCCAATTTCTCCTTGGGCTTCTTACTTGGGTTGTCCTTTTGTCTTTCTTACCCTCTCTGAGGTCTCCCTAGGGCCTGGTCACGCTAGTGAGAATTACCAGCCAGCTTCAGTCACACAAACCACTTGCTCTTTTGCCGCCATTATGACTTTGAAATGAAGCTTCCCCTTTTTAAAAAAATTTTAAGACAAGCTACTATCGGAACTGGAAATTAAATCTACTAATTAAACTTCCAAGTTATTAATGTTAGCCCCCATGAAGTAATAAAAATTAGGCTAAAAAATAAACATTTTATCCATGTAGAGATTTCTTTGGCCTACTGTTGCCTGAGCAAATGTGTGATTTTGTCAGTTCAGCAGTACACCCCTCCCCCCCGACACCTGCTGGATACACTGTTCTGTGCGCATGACAGCTATCAAAAAAGAGGTTCCATGTTTTCTGACAGTGCCATATCAATATGACTGTTAAGAAAAGAAGTCACTTTTAAGCATTATAAGAAAATGTATTTCCAGTATCCAGTGTTGTTACAGTGAATCATATATCTAAAAAGTATGTTAAATATATGTTTTTGTAAAAATAAATTACATAAATACATCTAGAATTAAAATATTAATATTTCTAGTATTTATTTTTGAGTAGGACATTATGGATATTTTCTTCATGCTTTTTATTTTCTGAATTTTTCATGAGTCTGTATCACTTTCATAATTGGAAAAAACAGTAATGATAGTAAAAGTTAATAAAACATAAAAGTGTTAGGACAGACACCCTTTGAAAAGTGTGGAAGACATAGACCTATGAGGCATTGACAGACATAATCTCTTAGTGTCCAGAAAGCAAATGTTGCAGGGAAGTTAGACACAATTTTGGAGGTTTTTATTTTAGCTTCTCTCATTTCAAAACACCCCTGGGATTGGAGGACCTGAGCTGTATCCTGTTGCTCTGGGACACGGGAGGGTGTGAGCCGTTGGCCATGGACCTGGGTGAGCACTGAGGTTTTCTTCAGAGTCTTTTCTCCTGGGATCAGACAAGTTCTTGCGGCTAAGGGGACAGGAGAGAGAACTCCCCAGTGCTTGTTTCAGCTGCCAAATCACAAGGCCCACGATCCCTCTAATGGCACCTGACCCAGCAGGTTCAGACATCGGGTATCAGTCATTGTTCTGTGAGCTGCAGGAAATCGGGCACTCCAGGGACTTCTCGTCCCTTGATTGCTTTTTCATGGCTGTAGCCCAGCCCCCTTCTCTCCAGCTGCAGTGTTCAAAGGCAAGACCTGTTCTTGGTGCAAGATACCTCTGTGCCAGGGCCTCATTTACAAATACCACAAGTCTATTTTTCTCCCTCTGCTTTGAGATATTGTTAACTACAGCCTAATTGCTGCTGCTTCATTCTGCCTCGAGTGTTCTCTTGTTTCGGCTGCCTACCAGATTTCTCCTGAGGGTCAGCAAAGGAAAGGGCCAGTATTAACACTCAGCTGCCTTGTTACTAAGAGGCCTGGTAACCATAGTAACTGCAACTAAGGGGAGATTTGAAATGTAGATATTTGGAACAGCCCCTAATCCCAGCCAGTTTTGCTTTGTGTCTGCTGTGCTGTCTCCTGCATTAGGAAGGACAGCATCTTGCAGGAATAAAGAACCCCTCCCCTTCCATGGTCTGCTCTGTGGGGCCTGTGCCTGGCTGCTGGCCCTGAAGAGTCGTGCTTGTCTGATGCTGCAGCTCTAACACTGGCCCCCTACAGCTGAGCAAAGCTTTTCTGTGAGCTGCAAACCAGGTGGAGCCCAGAGTGTTGAAGGTGCTGGGTAACTGTGCACTGAACAGAGAGTGTGTGGAGCCCAGGTATGGAAATTGAATCCTACCTAAAGTCACCTCTCCCTGGGATTGGCTGGGTGGAGGAGAAACATTCCTTTCCTGTTCTCTGCCCTAGAAGCTGCTGAAGGGATCTGCTCTTCAGGTCCAGGTTAGCCTGCTCCTCTGTTAAGGAGCTGACATCACACATCTGTGAAAGGGAACACAAGAAGGATTACCTTTTCTCTCTGTCTTTTTTTTATAAATTTTATATCATGTTCATATATTACTTATTAAAAATGAATTTTAATGAAACAAAGTTATACCAAAAAAGGTAAAGCAGGGTTCCTAAACCTTATATTTTTGGACATTGATTTTAAATGTCCACACAGTTGAACCCATGTGGTCTTTTTTTTTTTTTCATTAAACCCAGCAGAACTTTAGGAGGACGAACCCCCCTAGATGATGCCCAAGTCAGTCCATCCTTCAGACTCAGGGGGAGAAGCAGTCTTTGTGCCTAGCTATAGTGTGGTATACAGTATTATATTAGTTTCAGGTATGTAATGATTCAACATTTTTATACCTTACAATGTGATCACCCAACTAATTCTAGTAATCAACTGTCACCATGGAAACTTATCACAATATTATTGACTACACCTTTTCACCCATCCCCCGAATCACCTCCCCTCGGGCAATGATCCCTTTGGTCTCTGTTTCCTGTCTCTGTTCTTGACGATGTGGCATCATTGGGGCTAGCCAGGGCTAGAAAAGCAGTTTTTTACTTCCATTTCTCTAAGAGATACAGATGACCACTGTTCCACAGTGACTAATTTCCAACCCACTGCCTAGTGCCCAATTATGTAGCTCATCTAGATGAAATCAGTGAAAAGTCTTACACTGGAAATTGTCTTCTCAGCACATGTAGTAATTACTGTGCCCCACTTTATCTTTTGCCGTGTTACCAAAATAAATGCCTCCATTCAGGTGTTTACTTAAATCATCCAATAGAGGTGAATATTTGAGCCACATCAGACAGAGATAGTTCACAAGCTGCCAGTTGTCTAGGTCTGAAGGAAGGACCCTGGCTGGTATTGAGCGCAGTGGGCTTTGAGGCACCTCTGAGTGAGGCCCTAGGGATAAGTGACTGTTACAAAGGAGTCAGGACCTTTTCTCACCTGCCCTTGGGTGATGATCACCTGGTGAAAACTCGAATCAGGCATGTTTGCATTGGCATGCATTTCCCAAGATGTAATAAAGGCTCAGTTTTCTTTTAATTTTCAGGTGAAAGAGGGAGATACCTTGGATCTTTTAATTGGAGAAGATAAAGAAGCAGAAACAGAGACGGTGATGCGGATTCTCCTGAAAAAAGTCTTTGAAGAGAAGACTGAAAGTGAAAAATACAGAGTGGTGTTACGGAGGTGGAAAAAGTTAAAATTGCCTAAAAAGAGTATGCTTAAATAAATGGACTGCTTTTTAGTGATAAAGCTACTTTCTAGTGGTAGGGGAAGGAGCTAGCTTAAAAAGCAGACATTTTCGTTAAAATAAAGTTCTCTTACCATTTGTGGAATCTGAGCCATTTTGTGGAAATCAAGATCCATATCTTGGAGATAGTACCATTGGCCGGAATTTCTCTCCTGGCCTTGATTTGTGCTTATTTTGACCTCATGAGCATGAGTGAGATGTGTGCTGAATGAACTAAGCCTAGAGAAGGTGTTAGTGACTGGCCTGCTGTTTCCACGTTAACTGCCTCAGGAGGTAGTGTAAAATAAACTGGCCTTATTAGTGTTTATATTTCACTTTTATACCTGTTGGCCAGCTGCCCTTGGTTCAGGCTTTTTAAGGCAAAGCTAAGCAAAGTCAAAGTCACACTTTATTGCCTTAGGGAAGAAGCATTAGGAGATCCCTTTCCCCACTGGCCTTTCTGAATTATCAGCATGTTGGCCTCAGTTCTTCAGTTTGTCTTCACAAGTGTGGATAAGTAAACTTCCAACTAATTCCAAATGGGCTAGTTAGGGCTCATTTAAAATCGATTGTTTAGGGTAGGGGTTGATAAACTAAGGCAGCCAGAGGTCTTTTGCATGACACTCAAGAATGGATTTTACATTTTTAAAGCGTTGTTTAAAAAAAGAAAGGAATATATGACAGACTCTGTGGCCCACAGAGCCTGAAATATTTACGATCTGGCCCTTTACAGAAAAAATGTGACTCATTTTAATTTTCGGGTGAAAGAAAATACACAGATTTTATCAATGAAGCAAATAAAGAATCAGAGACCAATTCTAATTCTCAAGGAAATTATAAAAGGGACAAAGCCTTAAAAAAAAAAAAAAGTAGTATTAGAAGGGACACACACAAATATACATCATCCAAGAAAAGGGCATCTGTATACATAAATTGGTTTGTACATTCCTAAGAGTTATTTCCTAGCATTGGAAGGATCAGCTCAAATAGACTTATTAGACTGTGTCATGCCAAAAAGACTGGCTGTTTCTGGCTCCTTTTCTTTGCCTTCTAGGAATTCGTGAAAATTCAAGTTAACTGACAGTGAAGGGGTACTTCTGTAGCCCGAAGCAATGGGATGTTTGGGCCCACTTACCAGCTCAGATTTCAGAAGACTAAGGAAAATCAATTTTTATTTAAAAGCTTAAATAAGCTCTCAGGAAGAAATGATATGTACTATGCACTATAACAGGAAAGGTTTCTATTTTATCACTTATTAATTGGGCTTTACTGAGTCAACAGTAAAAATAATTACATTTAATTACAATATAAATTAGTTATGAATTGTAATTTAGGAGATTATATGAATTTTCATACTTATTTCCTTCACCTCTGTCCCTTTCTTCCTCTCCCTCTTTCTCTTTTCTTTCCTCTTGTCTTCTCTCTCTCTCTTTCTTCTCTTCGGAAAATAATAGGAAGCCTGAGGAGTCTTGGATGGTAAGGGGCAGCATGATCTAGTAATGTCAGAAGTCCTGGTTTTTAGGCTCAGTCTTGCCCTAATGATTTGGATTACCTTGATCATAATTTGACCTTAACCTCTCTGAGCTTCAGCTTCCTTATGGAGACCAGGATACTAATTGCTTTACCTTGTCCTGTCTTTGGAAGTTAAAATGTGTTGTATGAGGCAAGATGAACTGATGGTAGCTAGAGAGCAGGAAGAGCTATTTGAAAGGCTTTTTGAAACAGTATTGGTAATTAGTACCTAACTTAGCTGCTTGGCAGAGTTTGACCCATTAGAGACTTCTCTGTTTTTTTTTTTTTTTTAAAAATCAAACAAAACATCTGATGATGGAGAATCGTTTTGGTCCGAGCACATGGCAAAAACTGATCTTTCTCTAGTTTATCTACAGTGCAAGGGACTTGGAACATATTTATGAAACAGTAACAGAACAGTAGCAGAAACTAAAGCAATTCATAAAGATTTATAGCCCACTCATTACTCAACTGAAATGACAGCTGCTTTGTAATGCCATCCTGGCAAGACTTCCTCATTGAAAATATGACCAACATGATGAAAAGATAAAGGTTTGGATGTTTCTAATGCAGTGGTTCTCAACCAGGGGTAATTTTGCCGCCCAGGGACATTTGGCAATGTCTGGAGATATTTTTAGTCCTTACAAGTAAGGGAGTCGTATGGGCATTGAGTGGGTAGAGACCCAGTAACACTGCTAAACATCCTACAGTGCACAGATAGCACCCACAACAAAGAATTATCTGACCCAAATGTTAGGTTGAGACAGCCTACTATCATGGGATGACAAGGAATAATTTTTTTAATACTGCATGCACACAGGTTTTTCTATTAGGAAATGCCCTAGCACCGGTACCCACCCTCCAAGTTCTTCCAAGTTATTTTTTTCCCTCTCTTGTTCTCATGTATTTCTACAGATCCTCCTCCCTTATTTTAACCGACTATTCTAATGTGTTTAATGTGTATCTTTTTGTTTGTAGACATTCTTTTTGTATGCATTTTTGTAAACCGTTTTGCTGTTCTGTGCACATATATTTAAATTTCATAAATGGCATTACTATATATTTCATTTTGTATCTTTTTGCATTTAGATGGTTTTTAAGACCCATCCATGGCACTATCGGTACATCTAATCCATGGCTTCTCTGCTGCATAATAAATCTCAATGTGCATCTGCCACATTTTGCCTATCCACTCTCCCAGTGACATTTTCCCAGACTCCACCAGCTCCCCTCACCACAGATAACATAGTGCTTGCTTACTCTCTGCAATGGCTGCACCAGGCTGCCCTCCCACTAACATACAAAGCTGCCGTAGACCCATAGCCTCACCTAGCCCTGGGCACAATCCAGCTTTCTGACTTTTGCCAGTCTAACATAGGTGTAAAGAGGTGTAGTTTCTTGTAACATACACACTTTATAAGTTCTCCTTTCCTACACATGCAAGCTCCCACTTCTGCCTTTTGGTAGCTGCTATTACCCAATATATTGCTTGGAATTTCTCTGAAGGCTCTGAAATCAGATACAGCCTTCTGAGACTGCCACTCTCCCGTTCCTCTCAAAGATGAGCTTGCTGGGCTTTGTAAAAGTTTTTTTGGTCGTCATTATTGGTTAACAGACCAGGTATATTAAAAACAGGATAGTGACAGTTTAAATTTTGCAAAGTCCTGCAGACATGGATCACTCGTAGTGTACTTCAATTCCTTGGTAGAGGTGTCAGCTGCACCCAGTGGGCTTTCCATCCCGGGACTTTAAAAGTTGGAGGGACCTCCCCCAAGGCAGACAAGTGAAGCCCCAACGACTGCAGTCAGGGTGGAAGAGCAAGTGTCTAAAATAGGCAATTTCTGTTTAGAGGTCTGGACTGGTGATACCCATTTCTAGAGCCCCACTCAGAGGGGTTAGATACTATTAGATACTTCCCCACAAAATGTGTGGAGAATTTTCTTTAGGATTGTAGGGTATATCCCTTAACCCTTGATTCTGAGACAGAAAAAAAAAAAAAAAAATGAGGCTAAATTGAAAGCCAACTCTGGATCTAAGCAACAGTATTAGTAACCTGAAGAGAAGGCACCCATCACTATGGGCCAAACATGCTGAAGTATATGCCTCCTCATAGCTGGCATCTGCCTATGCTGAGATTTAATCCCTTGTGTCAGAAATAGCAGAAACAACCCCAGAAAGACCAGAGCTATTGAGTTCTGCAGCCAGCATTCAGAGCATACTTAGCAACTGTGTCAGTCTGTGAGAAACAGGGGAGTCAGGAAATATGCAGTCCTGCAGCTGTGCCTCAGGCGAGAGCCCAGCCCTGCTACCTCTGGGGTGGCTTTGGCTGTCTGCACTATGGGGAGGAGCCAAGGTTCTCAGTCTGCTTATACCTACATGCATCTGGAAAATCAGTTTCAGGTAAGAGAGGTCAGGTTTTGTGCTGTTTACCAAATCAGAACCTTCTCTCCAAGCTCAGACTAACTGCCAACAAATAAGATTGAGACTTGTTAGAATCAACAGTGCCCAAGAGATAGCAAGTGTTACAAATGTTTCTGCTGAATTTCCTAGAGGCAGAGATGATTCCTATTGCATTCTTTGTTATATTTCCTATGGCACTGAAACGTTTCCTGAGTCAAACATTCTCACTTGGATGGACCCAGAAGCTCAGAGACCGTGGACAGTCAGCAAAACCCTAAGTTAAAGGGCAGGGGACCACTAGGTAGAGGAATTTAATACGCACAACTGCATAAGTAGCAGCATGGAAATCAATGGCACAAACTTTGGAGTCAGGTTGGCCATTACTAGAGGTGGTATGACCTTGACAAGTTATGTAACTTCTGGAAGCATCCTCTTCTGTAAAATGGGAGATAAAAATATCTACTCCACAGGGTTTCTGTGAGGGTTAAATAACACTTGTCAGGTCCCTAGCACATTCCCGACTCATTACAGGTGCTCAGAAAATGGAAGCTCTTATGAAAAACAGAACTCTCTGTAATTTAGGGACCCACCATGATTTCTGAATACACAGCTGTCACTGCAGGAGCTTCTGGAAGGAGAGGCTGTGGCATTACATGTTTTAAACCGCTGTCAGGGATATAGTTCACCATCTGGATTACAAACTCTATTTAGAAGAACAAGGGAATTCTTACTCCTTATAATAAAATCAACAGACATGCTTAGCCATACAGAAATGTTCTGGCAAAAGCCATCACATTTGGCCAGTGCCCCTAATCCCTGATGCTGAAGCATATGTAAATCTGCCTCTTCCTACTGACCTAAAAGCTAAGATTTAGTTCACCACTGGTAAGAAGTAGTTTTATTTGAACATAACAGGAAACCACTTATTTCAGCTCAGATGTTTCTAATAATCAGGAAAGCATTAAGCCTTCAGTTTCTGTATATACAGATATTCGCAGTGTATTTCGTGAAGTTACTGTACTTCACAAGTTAGTGCTTCTCAGAGTGCAGCCCCCAACATCAGCATCACTAGGAATGCAAATTTTGAAGCCTCACCCCAGACCTACTGAATCGGAACCTCTGGGGGATGGGGACTAGCAATCTGGTTTAACTTGCCCTCTGGTAGATGCTGATGGAGTCCCACCCAGGTCCCTGTTACCAGTGCACCTATCTCCCGGCTGTTGAGGGCCAGCTACTCACACAGAGGCCCTTCTGGAGCACTTACCCTGGCCAAAGGGAGCTGTCCTGCCAGGCGAGTTATCCCCTTCCCCTGGGCAAGACCTTAGACCATGATCAACCTACCCCTTTGCCTCAACTGGGACTCATTTCGCCAAACAATTCATATTCTAGTTCTCAGCGGATGGGAATGAAGCCAGAATGCAGTGCAGACCACATTCTTGCTTTTGGCCCTCCCTGGCCCCATCCTGCTTTCCTCACGCTCCTCCTGACAACATGCCCTCAATCAATTGCACAAGAACCCCCGTTTCAGGCTCTGCTCCTCGGGAATGCGATCCAGGGCAGTTACTTGCACAATCTAAAAAATTTTACTATTACCAGAACATGTCTGTCCACTATTGCCACAATTTTTTTCACCCAGGGCAATTTTAAAACCAGTATACCCATATCTAAGATCAGACAAACGGGCTGAGGATGTGGGTGAAAGGACATCACATTGGGATCTAAATCTTTGTATATTGTGGTTCAGGGGCTGTTTAGCTCCTGAGACAGTGTGGTATCGTAGAGACAAACTTAAGTTCAAATCTTGACACTGCAATGTGCCAGTTGTGTAAACTTGGGCAATAAACTTACTTCTCCTTCCTTACCACAAAACAGAGAACAGTGCCCAAGACTGAGATTTTGAGAATTAAATGAGGTGGCATTTAACAGCATTCAGGACCTTAGCTTTCTTAACAGGCATAATTATGGAACTTATCTCATGGGGCTTTTGAGAGGATTACAAGAGATGACCCCAGTACAGCTCTTAGCAGTGTGTGCCTGGCACATGGTACATACTCAACGAATGTTAGGTGCCATTATAAGGAACACGTAATAAATGTCATTCTTTTCCTGCCTCTGGCCTGGGGGTATTAGATTTATCTGGAAGCTCCCTTAAAGAGTTCATTGCATCTCACTACTCTTATGACCATGGTAACGAATTTGGTGTGGCGTTATCTCTGAGAACTAGATTTTATAAGTAAGCTCACATGTGTTGAAATTCTCTGTGAATTTTCTTTTTGGTAGAAAACAGAGATACTTACAGCCAGAAGGGGCTTAAAGAATCTAGCCTTCCTCCAAGTCTTGCTTAAACTTCCTCATGGATTTATTTAGTGTTTGGGGCTCCAGCCCTTGACCAGCCCTAATGTGCACAAGGCTTAGAGCACACAAGTGTCAGGACTCATAAGTGACCAACACTCACTGAAGGAAAAGTGTTCCAATCACAAGCCACAACTTATTTTATGTATTGTGACACTTGGGTAAAAAAAAAAGTTAATGATTTATAATTAGTCCAAGAGAAGAAAGAGGGTAAGAAAAAACATGCATCCTTTTGTTATCAGTTAATATGTTAACTTCAAGGAACCAAATCCCATTGAATCCAAAGGGCAAAGAGTGAAAGGAAGCTCTGTAAGCTTGACGGCAGGGAGGGTCTGGCCACGGACCAGTAAAGGTAAAAGGTGAAATTCACCTCCCACTCTGTGACCAGGAAGCCACAATACATAAAGCTGTGGTGTAGAAAGGGGCTAGTATTTATTTGTTGGCTTCTCAGTCATTCAGCTGTGACAAAATGAAATCCTGTGAGCTGTAGCCCTGACACCCAGTGTGGAAGCTTGAGAGGCTGAGATGCCACTGAGCATTCATGTCCTCCCCTGGGAACAGGTGAGGAGGCCGTATAAACAAACCATGACATGTTCTGAGAGACCTCTGCTCTAAGAAAATAAGATGTTATGAGACGTATTTTTTCTATTTTTATAACATTTTATATAACTCATAAAACAGTGCTTGTATAAAAATTCACACAAAGTTGCTAGAGAGCATACAATTTCCAAAAATGTCCTGGGTTTTTGTTACATTCAGTTTCTAAGGATGCACTCAAACCAATGGTAAAATGCAGACATTATGTGATATTTCATTATCTTTGGTAAAACTATTCTCATTATTTTGTCTCCTCACAGTATTAACTCTGATATCCACTTTGTGCAGGGTTTGCTATCACTAGGATGTCAGAAAAACATTAAGGCTGGATCTACACGAGGCAAGTATTTCCAAATGGCAGTAATAGCCGCTTGGCCCCGCCCCCACTCATACTGTCTATCTAAACAGGCAGGGTGAGAGCTCACTGATCTCCAATCAGGGGTCTCGAGACCCCCTCTCAAACAAGCAAGAAGCAAAAATATGGGGGGAAAAGGTGGAAACTAAGGCCATCTCTACAGGAACCCCAGTGGCCATGCTGTGGTGTGGTCACGTCGGTGACTCTTACCATTTAAACAGCTAATCCATTCACCACTAAGTAGATCCCATTGGTTGGTTGATGATTGCTGTTGGGTGGTACCCCCTCCCCAACATAAAAGAAGTTCAGGGCCAACAATGAATGGGGAGGGGCACACTAACACCCGTGACACTAGACACGACTTTATTCCCTGTCAAACGTTTGTTGTCATGTAGATACAGCCAAAGTGAACTGAAGCAGGATTAGAACACAGTACATTCATGACTATCTTCATACATTCTTTTAAAACAACACAGAAAATAAGGGACACTACCACCTATTGTGACTTGCTATTTTACTTAACATCAGAATGTGTCTGTGCTAATTCTTTAGTCCTCCAGATACAAAAAAAAAAAAAAAGGAATCAAAACCAAACAAATAAAAACCAAAGAATTTAGATGGAGAGGAGGGATTTGCCAACTGATTATATGGAAAAACATAAAATTTTCAAACGAGTTTTTTGTACTTCTATTGCTACATGTAAAACACTGCTCCTGGAGCCCACCTGTATGGCTGGAGAACTGAGGACACCATACAGACAGGCACAGGACCTGCAGACGTTTCCTGATGAGACAGTCCAGAGGGACAGGAAACAGCTCCCAGAGTGTGTCCATCTCTCTTCATTGAAAGGGACTCTAAGATGTGGGGGGAAGCAGCCCTACACAGAAAAGGTATTTAGGAAACCACCGAAAATACGGTTTCCAAAAACTGAACATGCTCTAGGTTATAGACACATTGCATTCCTAGAACCTGTTAACTCCTGTTAATTTCTTTAATGTGGGTAGATTGGATTTTTAAAATTAATAAATGATTGTGCTTCTGAAGCTGCAGGGTCTCATTCCACCCTCTAGAAAGTAGGACAATTTTCACATGGCTTGGAATCCTCTTGGATACATCCTAGAGACCAGGACAAATTCCATGGCACCCACCAACCAGTAGGGCTGGCAGGAGAGTGCCTCTGCCATCTTTGGGTAGGGCGTGTGTGCGCGTGTGAGTTTGTGTGTGTGCGTGTGTGCATGCATTTGTGTGTTGGAGAGACTAAGGCATAGAGAAAGGCCCAGTTTGCGGGGAGGGGGGAGAGTGAGCCTCCTGGCTGCTCCAGCCCCTTTTCCTGCCCAGGCACTAAGAGGGTGAACTTGTTATATTCACATAGGTCCCCTTCATCTCACTTTAGTTTTTTAATAAGAAATGTGTGTGCACGTGTGGGTGCGTGAGAGTCATTAAGTCACTGTGCATTTCAAAAAATTCAATAATTTAGCTCTGCAGTTTCAACAGAAATAATCTGTAAATGACATTTAAAAGCAAATTTACTAAAGTTAAATCAGCAAGTTTACATTGCTTAAAATCCTGTCACATATATATATAAAACCTGCTGGGTGCAGGCAAAATTATGTCATACAACCACTGGAACTGAAGTCCGTATCAGCTGTATAAAGATAATTAATTCACAGATTGTTTCTATTATTTCTGCATTTTAAGGTAGCAAAATATTAAGCCACGTGGGTTTTATGACTACCCTGTGTGATTCATTCAATTTCCAGGTTTCTAGTATGATGCACTCAGTTTGAGTTAGACTGTTTCCTTTCCCTCTTAGGCATTTGGCCCCCCAAGTCAGGTAGGTGAACGTGTTTTTAAGGACTTTAACTGCTGGAGAATTTCCAGGTTGGAACTCCAGGAGAACACGCCACTGGCCTGAAGCAGTGTGACTTTCTCAACCAGTGGGGAGAGATGTCTCACCCTAAGGCCAAGGGAACAGCCAAATGTAGGACAGCAGGACCTTCTAGGGGGGTTAAAGGGAAAGCTCTGAGAGGACCCGGGGAAGGGACATGGGAGCCCCATTTGAGATGACCTGTGTCCTTCCAATACCAGGGATCCTCCAGAGGCCTGAGGGTCTGGGCCCGCCCTGAGGAACAAAGATGTATACTGACCGGAGGAACTAACACTGAGGTGTGGTGAAGTTACCATACAGCTCCCAGAACCCGGGTTTTGTACAAATACACACAAAGTAAACAGTTCTTAGTGAGCCCAAAGGGGCCTGTCCTTAAATCAAACATGAAGCCAATTATCGACACACACTGTTTTCCAAGGAAACATGTCTGCCCCTCCAACCAGCATCCTCATGCGAAGATGGGAGAGGGCAGTGGAAGGACACAGCTCAAAAGACACTGTGAACGTGTTTCCACGTCTATCTACATTCATGTCATCATCGTCATCATCATCATCATCAATCATCATCATCATCATCCAGTGTTCTTGTCTACAAAGAGTGAGCACGACAGTCTATCGACGCAGCAACGGAGAACAGGCCAGGCCAGTGAGTAAGCCCCTTCCTCAGCACTACAGTGGAAGAGAGAATGTGACCATGGTCACGAAAGATGTCACACTACTGCACCCCCTCTACTGCCATCCAAGGGGCATCTTGACTCTTCCAATTAGATGTAAAAGACAAGGTCAGTAAAATGGGTCTCTATGCCACCTGAAGCTAATATTAGCCATCATGCATGAACATGGCACTTCTAAAAATTTCATAAATCTGAAGCCATCTTAAAAAGAAATCCCAGCAACTGAAGTCATCTCACAGTACTTCACCTCAAATATTTAAAAGACTTTTTTCCTAAGTAAAATGGGCCCCAAAGAGCCCAGTGATCTTTTAAAAAAGGGTTTCTTTTTAATTTAAAAAAATTTGATAAAAATGTTAGATGTAAAATGTGGGAAGAGGAACAAGAGTCGTTGAAATCTAGGGAAAGGGGAGGACACAGCCAAGGAGAGACAACCCCTCCTCCTGAGTCCTCTCTGCTCTCACAGCTCAGCCCTCCCCAAACTGGCTGCACCACTGGGGAACTCAGGACAAAAGTCACAAGTAGGAGAGACCAAATGCAAGGCTTCTTTCTTGTGGTTGAGTGGGTGTTTACGTGTGCAAAAGTAGTAAGCCACTCCCCACTGACATAAGGTGCGTGTCTGTGGATACCATAACACGTGCTCCAAAAGGCTCAGGCCCCAGGCTGCCCATCACTTCTCTACTTTTTTTGCTTTCTTCAAGATGTCGCATTTTTTCCTGTTGGGGCGGCGGCACCGTTCGTCGATGCTGGGGATACATTCGTAGTGCCACACCTCCTCCATCTTCTCCACGGGGTAGACGGCCTCCACATAGTGGCGGATGAGCCGGAGCCGCGTGGGGTCCAGCTGCTTCTTGTTGCAGGCCCCGGAGTGGTTGTACTGCAGCCGCAGGTTCTCGGCCGTGAAGAGTTCGGGAAAGAGCCTGACGAGCAGCCGGGCGGCGAAGTTGCCCACCGAGAGGCTCTGCTGCACGATCTCGCGCACCTCCTTGTCTGACAGCAGGTACGGCGAAGGCACCGGGAAGTCGGGCGAGGGGACCACCAGCTCGTCCAGAGGGATCTTGCAGAAGTCCTTGCTGCTTCTTTCGGGGGGCAGCGGAGGCCCCTCAAATTCCTCTCGGAACCTCTCCGGGTTGATTGCATAGCTTGCCAGGTCTCTGCATTCAGGGCCCGGCACATGGACTTTGCGCTGCTGCTGGTAGGAGCGCCTCTGCTCCGTGTCCCGGCGCCGGCAGCGCTCGTCCAGTTTGCCCACAAACTCCAGCGTCCAGACGCGGTCGTTCTTGGCCCGTGGGTAGAGCAGCTGCACGTAGTGGCGAATGAGCTTGATGCGGGACGGGTCCAGCTGCTTCTTGCCTAGGGAGCCGCTGCAATTGTACTGCTTGCGCAGGTTCTCATGGGTGAAGAGCTCGGGGAAGAGATGCACAAGCAGGCGCGAGGCGAAGTTGCCGATGGACAGGCTGCTCTCGTAGATGCTGCGCAGCTGCTCTTTGCTGAGCAGGCAGTCGGCACCCGGCACCTCGAAGTCAGGCTGCGGGATCTCCAGCTTGTCAAAGTCGATGGGCACCAGCCAGATCTTCTTGGACCGCCGGCCCGGCCGCTCGCCCTCAAAGCTGTCCTCCACCTTGACCACGGAGATGTCGTCTGGCAGGCTGGAGGAGTCGTAGCAGTCGTCCCGCGGGGGCTCACCCTCGCTGCCCCCGTCCAGACCCAGGCCCTCGAGCTCCTCGTTGATGCGCTGGGCACACTGCTGCAGCCAGGCCTCCTCTTCCTGCATGTCAGGGAAGTAGATCTCTGTGTAGTTGCGGATGATCTGCAGCCTCTGTGGGTCCAGCTCCTGCTTGCCGCCATCCCCGTAGCAGCTGTACTGCTCACCCAGCTTCCGGTGGTCAAAGAGCTCCGGGAAGAGACGGTGCAGGAGGAAGACGGCAAACTCACCCGGAGACGAGGCTTCGTCCAGGAACTCGGTGAGGTCCTGTGTGTCCACTACGTGGTCTGAGGCGATGGTGCTGCTCCGGTCCAGAGACAGGGCCTCCTCCTGGTCTTTGTTGTCCAGGAAGTGGCCAGGGTCCACCTGCTCTGTCTCAAAGAAGCTGGCAACCTGGCCCCCAGGCTGGCTGTCCTCCATTTCCCTCTGGGCCCAGAAGCGGCTGAAGAAGTCGTTCAGCTGGGGCAGGCACTCGGCCTGCCACACGGCCGTGTCCTTCACCGAGGGGTAGTAGACCTCCACGTAGTTGCGGATGAGCTGCAGGTGCAGTGACTCCAGCTTCCGCTTGGCCGCAAAGCCGCAGGCACTGCAGCCACGGGAGAAGTCCACGTCGCTGAAGAGCTCGGGGAAGAGCTGCACCAGCAGGCGGCAGGCCAGGTCCCCACCGGACAGGCTCTGGTCCACGATCTGCTTGAGCTCGGCCGCCGTGAGCTGGTACTCCGGAGGCGGCTGGAACTTGGCCACCATCTCTGTGGGGCTCACCTGCTTCTTGATGCGGCTCACCTCCAGAGACAGCAGGTCCACCTTACTGTGCAGCTGGGACATGTTGGAGGACAGCGTGTTGAGCATGTAGAACATCTTCTGGATCAGAAAGTAGATGTTAGGGTCGCCGTCAGTGGCTGGGGCCGCACTGCCACAATCTCGCTTCTGTGGCTCATTCAGGAGCCTCAGCGGTGAGGGGCTGTTGCTGGGGTTTGCCTTCTCCAAGAGCTCGTATGTGCTGAGCACATCCCCAGCGGGAGGGTTCTTCTTCTCCATGATCTTGTGTGAGATGCCATAAAGAGGCTTCTTGTAGGAGGGGGTGGTCACATCATTGCAAGGCTCTTCCTCTCCTGACCACACAGAGACCAAGTTCTTGCCCTTGCCAGCCTGCTCTCCATTGCCCTGGCAGGGCGAGCTGTTCTCCCGGTTCCTCATGCCTGCTAGGAGCGCCTGGAAAACAAAAAGTGTGTTAGAGGAGTGTTATGATTTACACTAGACACAGGTCTGTGTCACACACACAGAGGGGCCAAGGCCAATCACAAGAGCATGTGAGGAACTGCTTCCTATGCCCCGGAGTCACTCTACACATCCAGAACACATCATGAATACAAACCTGCATCCTAGTGCCAAACCTGCTTGCTCTCACTGCTTCCTGAGAGGCTTAGGCTAGACCTGAAGGCTTCGAAACCCTTCAGGTAACTAGCGCTGGACTTCCTGCCCACAGGGCCCAACAGGAAACAGAGCACAGATGCTGGCAAGGCCTGGTGAGAACTCGGACAGGGATGGGAGAGACCATGAGAATGTGAGGAGCTCCTGCAGAGGCCCATGGCAGGTCACCTTACTGGTCTAGGCCTTAGCAGCTCTCCGATGGGGATGATGACTCCTGCCTATGGCAGCTCCAGAATGCAGCAGCATGTCTTCCAGTCTGCAGCCTCTAGTAGAACAGGGGTCCCCACGTGGGACAGCTGAGATGCACAGTGGTGGGCATAGAAGAACGGGGTCTAGACAGCAGCAATGTGCTGCCAACGCTTCCACTGCCTAGAATCATGTCTTACCTAGGACAGGGCCCACCCACCTGTGAGATTCCATGAAGAGATGGGGCTTCCCAGATTTCTAAGTCTTGGTCTCCTTGTTGGTCCAGCAGCCCTTCTCAACCAGAATTCCAGGAGAGAAGTAAGCCCTCCTGTCTTAAGGCACCCACTGTATGTAATGAATTAATGTGTCTCCTGTGCATCTAGAAGGGTACTTGCTACGTATTTATCCATGCTTGCTCAACAGAGAGGTCTGTGAGAGAATTAAATCCTACCAAAAATAATTTGAGGGACGGATTCTTTGACTCACCCAAGGATGGTACGCTCTGTAGGTCCACTGTTGCTGGACTCCCAGGGAAGCTCAAGATACCCTTTAACGGCCCCAAAGCTTGACTCCAAGCTCCACGATGGGACAGCAATAATCCTGACCATTGGGAACCCAGAATTCTCATTGCTTTCATCACTAGTTTTCCCTATTGCCAGGCCCTGGACAGTTTAAGAGGCTTATTTACATATAGACAGACAGGTAGGTGACTTTCCACAGAAGTTCAAAGGTGAGTTCAGTGGAGAAAGGATAATCTTTTCCACCAATGATGCTGGTTCATCCTACCACATCCCATAGACAAAAATGCACGCAAAATGGATTGTGGACCTAAATATAAAACCTAACTTAAAATTCTAACACTACTAGAAAAAAACAAACGAAATCCTTTGTGACCTTGGTTTAGACAAATATTTCTTAGACATAACACTACAAGCATGAAACATAAGAGAACCAATTGATAAACTGGAATTGGACTTCACCAAAATTAAAAACTTCTGCTCTTTGAAAGACACTGTTAAAACAATTTTAAACCAGCCCAGACTGGAAAAATAGCAGCAAAGCATTAATAAAGAACTTGAACCCAGAATACTTAAAGAACTCTTAAACACAAGAATATACAACCTAATTATTTCAAAAGCCACCACAAAGAAGATATATAAATGGCAAATAATCACATAAAAAGATGCTTATTAATAACATACAAATTAAAATCACAATGAGATTTGATTATATCACTCCTACTACAATGGGTACAATAAAAAAGATATAAAATATCGAATGTTGAAGATCACGTGAAGGAACTAGAATTCTCATACACTGCTGGTGGGGATATAAAATAGTATAACCACTTAGATTTGGTACTTTCTAAAAAGGTTAAACATACATAAACCATATGATTCCTAGGTATTTACTTACCAAACAAAATCAAACCACAGAATCACATAAAGACTTCTAAGCAAATGTTCATGGCAGCCCTATTTGTAAATAGCCCATAACCAGAAATAACCCAAATTTTTATTAACAATAGATAAACAAGTCGTTACAGTCGTAGAGTGAAATACCACTCAGAAATAGAACTGATACCCATGGTATTCATGATGAATCTCAAAGTAATTTTGCTGAAAGAAGTCAGACAAACAAGAGACCAGACTGTATGATTCCATTCACATAAATTCTAGAAACTGCAAACTTATCTATAGTGACAGAAAGCAGATTAGTTATTACCTGGGGGTGCAGGAGGAGTGCATAGAGGCATAAGGAAATGTTAGTGGTAGTGGGTGATGGATATGTTTATTATCTTGATCATAGTGATGGCTTCATAGATATACACAAATTGAAATTTATCAAATGGTACACTTTAAATATGTGCCATTCATTGTATTTCAGTCCTAACTTCATAAAACTGTTTTTGACAAATGTTGAAATTGACCCAAAACTCATGAGAATATATTTTTGAGAGTTTAATTAAGCAGAAGAGCTATCTGGTGAGCCCCGGTGGGAGGGTGGGAGGCAGAGTTGAAGCACAAAGCGTTTGCTTCCATTGACATGAGTGTGCCCCGGGCAACTGCAGAATGGACAAAAATAAAATGCACCCTTAAGATGCTTCTACACCTGGGAAAAATTTGGTTGGCGTAGCCTGGCCAGGCTCAGTGCTTCTGGAACTCGAATATACATATGAATCACTTGGGGTCTTATGAGAATGCAGATTCTGATCCCTGAGTCTGCATTTCTAACAAGTTCCTGGGTACTGTTGGTCTTCTCTGAGTCACCAGAGCATGGAAGAGTGTCACTTTCAGTTTATCGCATCCAGGCAGATTCAATGTCATTTGTAAGCCTTCATTTAACTAGTGCCAGTACATGAGGTGTTTTTCTCTTGTAGGGCAAAGAGACAATCTCAAGAGGCTAGATATACAATGGCAGCTGAGCAACACAGCGCCAAGAATAAGTAGGCCCAGGGTAAAAACAGACCAGGAGGCCACATAAACATAAAACTTTGACCCTCCTGAACCTCTCATTTGTTACGTTTCATTTGAATTAATGAATTACTTCCTGGACCCTCTCTTTTAGATAATAGAATAATGCGACTCAGATTAGAGAAAGGTTAATTTTTCTCTTAAATCTACTTTCTCAGGGTTTGTCTAAGATGATGAAGGGTCAGAGGACCTGCCCCTCAAAAAAACAATACACACTTCCCATGAGCACAAGACCAGGGACATTTTGGGGTGGAGGGAGCCTGCTATCTGCTCCACTCCCTCTTGGGGTCCCCTTCTTACCAAGCTGTCCCTGTCTTCATCCTACTGCATGATAGTTACATGACGGGACCATGTCATTCCTGAGTCTATCTTCAGTGCCTACCAAAGTCTCTGGGACACAGAAAGGCTCAATGAATGTTAGTCAACAACACGTGTGGGTGTTTAAAGCGAGGCAGGGGATTCTACCACTCTTAAAAACATGCTTTAAGAAAGAGGAGCTGTTCAGATAGGCTATTCGCTTCATGAATAGCATGACTGGAGAGGAAAGGAGTGGGTAAGAGCTCAGCTCGACCATCAGGTTTGTTCTTTATGTGACCTTGGCCATATTACATGACCTTTCATGTCTCAGCTTCCTGTGTGTAACTCGGGGATAAATAATGGTACCTCACAGGGGTTGTAAGGACTTAATGAGATAATGTACATAAAGCGCTGAGCCCATGTCTGATCACAGTTAAGTATTTAATATTTGTTATTACAATATGATTATTATTAAACAATGTTATTTCCAAGCCAGAGCAGTGGTAATACTACATGCCTTTTATAAAATTATTTGTAATGGTTACTCTGGACCAGTAAACAAGAGGAGGACTTTCCTACAGCATTGGCAGCAGGGTAAGTCACTCATAATAGGTATGTCTTAGAGGTCTGTTTGCCATAAAGGCTGGGAGCAGAGGAAAAGTACAAGACAACGGAGCTAAAGGTGGGGTTTTAAGCTCTTTACAAGTTCTTTTGTTTCACTATCTGGCAGAAAGCAGAGGAGAAGGAAGGAAGGAAGGAACTGCTCCCCCCTCCCCCCACACACATACACAAATCAGAAACTTGGAGAGACAGATGGAGATAGTTGAAAATCTTTACCCTTAATGCAATATGTTTGGAACTGTGGGTCATGACTCATTGGTAAATGGTGAAATTGATTTGATGGATCATGACTAGCATAAGAAGAAAGAGGAAGAGGAGGAGGAAGTATGAAAGAAAAAAGACAAGAATGAAAAAGAAATAGAATAGGAAATACCAGAGTCCACTGCACATAGTAATTTAATAATTTCAGGAAAGTTTTGTTTCATTTCTGTGTATATCTACATATTTATATATAAATTCATATATTTGAGCTGCATTTCACTATAAGGTGTGTTTATGACTGTGGGTCACTGTTGAAAAGACTGCCAAAGAAAATTCAAAGTGCCTTACTTGCTAATTCCTAAAGACTGCAAATTAGATTTTTAGCAACTTATTCACCATTAAATTTTATTACACCAAAATAATGTGGTAGGTCCCATGGGCCATGAGATTATGAGGTTTTACCAATATAGAGAAATTTGAATTGGTAATGCCAATCATCAAAGAAATCATAACTGCATTAGGAGTGATTTTAGAAAAGGGACCCTTGCTTTACAATGAGTAATCCTACCAATATTTAAAAAAGTTCCAATGCAGAGAGATGACCAGAAACTCACCCGCCGTGCAGCATGGGTTCTAGACGGAGACCTGCCCCAGTCAATCCCCAGCACAGGAAGTAAGTACAGAAAAAAGTCTCTGGGTGAACTGCTTGAGGACCAACAACAAACAGAAGTCGTTTGACTCCCCCACATTGCCGCAGACGGCAGAAGGCCAGAGTACATGGGAACTGGAATTCCCCTCTATAACTCTCAATATTCAGCCTCATTAATAAAAATATTTCAGTTTCTATCAAGCATGTTAGAAACACTGCCATCAACAGAAACATTTCTGGCTAACCTGCTTGAATAAAAAAAAATTAAGTTAGAGTCCCAGTAGAGGGCAACATTCCTCACTCCCAGAGACCTTGGATACACAATTCAACACAAAACACAACACTAGCACCAA